AAAGCTTTTTTTTCACAAATTGATGATTGTGCTCCCTCCCCACACTTCAAAACCCGTGTCGTCGGCCCTGATTGCCAGTAAGGACTTGCTCTTGGCTTTATTAACTCCTAAGATGTCACTTTCTTCAAAACAATAAAACAATGTTATTCTCACAATTTTAGACGGATCTGTAAATTTTATTTTTAAAAGAAATAACCTCTGCAACAAAAAATTAAATTATGAAGATAATTAAAAATTAAATATTTTATGAAATTTACTTACTACAGTAGAAATTCTATAGTTCCAATTTTATGGGGGACAATAAAAGTTCGAATTATTTTCGAATTATAGAAAGTCAATTTTTTCTGATGCGCTTTTCACGGTGACTGCATTTAATCGAATTATCGAGGTTTTCGAATTAAGGAGATTCGAATTAGAGAGATTTTATAATTCAATTTTGATAAAAATTTTAATGGAGAATTATTTAATTAAATTTAGATAATTTAATTTTAATAAAATGTCAAATGTTCAGGTAAAATTATTATGCCCTGAAGTTTTTTAATTTAGGACAATATATATATATATATATATATATATATATATATATATATATATGTATATATATATATATATATATGTATATATATATATATATATATATATATATATATATATATATATATATATATATATATATATCGAAAAAAAAAGTTTAATTTTAAAATATACATATATATATATATATATATATATATATATATATATATATATATATATATATATATATATATATATATATATATATATATATATATATATATATATATATATATATATATATATATATATATATATATATATATATATATATATATATATATATATATATTTATATATATATATATATATATATATATATATATATATATATATATATATATATATATATATATATATATATATATATATATATATATATATATATATATATATATATATATATATATATATATATATATATATATATATAGGCCAATTGTACCCAGGGGGGCCGGGGAATGGGTAGCAGCAGGGGCATTTTCCTCCCCCCCAAATAATTTTTTAAATAAATAACTGTGAAATTATTTTTTAGAAAAAGCAAGCGAATAAAAATTAAGAAATCAAGAAGAAAAAAAGAGTAGGAAAAACCTAATTTGTTAGGTCTTTTTAATCCGTATTTTTGGCGTAAGTCTTTTTAGAAAAAATTTAAATTATTAATGTTTATGCGTGAAGACCATTTCAACAAATAAAGCAATTACCAATAACTTCTTTACAACATTACTAACGCAATGTTAAAGATTTCATAATATAACATAGTAAAGCATATTATAACATAGTATAGCATAGTATTGTATAGTATAACATAGTATAGCATAGTATAACATTATTTAATTAAGTTGATTTAAGTGAGAAAGTAAAATTGTTAGATAAATAAGACGTTAAAACAGACAAAACTTACTTAGTTTGAAATAAGGTATGTGCTCATTTAATAAATATTTCTTTTTTTATCATTAAACCTTTTTTCTGTGCTGATAGAAAGAATCTAAAAGTCTGTAGCTTGTGTATTTGTCAACAGTAACGGAAGAACAAAAAAATGAAAAGCAAGTTTAAATATAAAACGTAATTAAGTTAATTTTCTTTCCCACTTTACCCCATCTAGGTGAGAATGATAGGTCCAAAGTCTCTGCCATTGAACCAAATAGCGCTTTAGAAGATAGATTGAATATATTAAAAGATCTTTACTAGCCAATAGACTTTACATTTCCCATAAGGAGAATTAATGGTGTAATACCCCATTTTTCAACCACATGATTTAAAACCTATCCATGTATCCATTATGACGTTTGTACTGATTCAGCGTATTGTATTGCATGCATTAAAGATATTCGTTTAAACGCTCTCTCTCAAAAAAGAAATCTGCTGTTACCAAAAAGATTCATTAATTGGAAAAAAACAAAAAATAGCGCTTATGAGATTTCTCAGACGCATAAAAAGGCAACATTGTCTAACAAGGAGGTCGCCTAAAAGTATGGTGTCTCAAAAAAACACAATATCAACCTGGGTTAAAAAAAAACAAAGTAATGATCTCGCTGAAAAAAAAAATAGCACAAAATCTAAACGGAAAAAGAAACTTCGTAGCGGTAATTTAAAAAAATTAGACAAGGTTATACTCACGCGATTCGTCGCAAGATCGAGTCAAACATGTATCTGCATTAAATTTTTAAAATGGGTGATTCAATTCAATTATTCTGTTACTACTTTCAGGATCGGCATCAACTTTAAAATAATCTCAAGCGAGAATACCGCCGTAACGAATGACTTTCATAAAATGAATCTACAATTTCAACATTTCGTTTGAACTACAAACTTGGAAACATTTTTAATGCCAATGTTTGGCATTAAAAATGTTTGGACTATTTTACCAGTGCCTATCAAAAAAACGTACCACGTATTATTTATCACGAGAAAAATGTTTCAGTTGAAAAAAGAGTATAGTCAGACTAAAAGACATGGCAGCAACAGGAGAAAAACTACCTATGTTTGTTATTGGAAAATATAAAACCCCTCGATGTTCCAAGCACATTAAACAACTCCCTTACAAAATCAATCAAACTCTAGTACTAAACTTCAGGATTTAATGAAGATGGAAAGTTTGGATAATTTGAAGCAATATAGGATAACAAATTTTTTTAAATATTGTAGTTTTTGTTGTTAATGATTTTTGTCAGAAAAATAACTTGTTTTTTAATCAAAGTCGAGCGATTATACTTATTTTTAACCCCTTTCTTGATATCTCGAATTCTCGATATATTTCCAACTTATTTCCCGGTCCTCTTAGTGTTTAAAATATTGAAAGATGACTATATATATATATATATATATATATATATATATATATATATATATATATATATATATATATATATATATATATATATATATATATATATATATATATATATATATATATATATATTCTTGTCTATATAACAAATTAATATCCAAAAAAACTTAACTGGAAAAATTGAATAACTTAAATACTCTGAAAACGTTATCAAAAGATCTCATTTTAAACAGTAACAACTTCATGAATTTTTATTACCCCAAAAACATTTAAAACTATGTTTAAAACTAACTTTGTTCCGAAACTAATGTAAACTCTTATAACTCTAAATAACTCAAAAACAACAACAACAACAAAAAACTAATAATAAATAATAGGCTTATTTATCAACATATAACGACTATATATTATCTGTTTAGCAAATCGTATGCCTTCTCATATTTATGTGTATTGAAATAAAATTAAAAAGATTAAAAACTTTTTTTTGTCTGCATTCTGTTGCAGACAAAAAAAAGTTTTTTTTGTTTTTTGCATTTTGCATTTTTATTTTTATTCTGTCGAAACTGATAACACTATTTTTTAAATATAAATTTATTTTAAATTGAAGTATCCAAAAAAATAAGTAACGCATGGCGGTTACTTGATGATAAGACCATCGGTCTTCTGCAAGTTCCCCGTGTTCTTTCAATTTTTTTTCTATATCCAAACTATCCAAAAATTTGTTTTTGATTTTCTTTTATTAATGTGACATCTGAAGAAAAAAAGTTCTATAGAACTTCTATAAACTTTTTTATGTGGTCTTTAGAAATTCTAAAGAATTTCTTTAGAGTAATCTATAGAAATTGCTATAAAAGCTTTTTTTTTCAAAATAAGTATTATATATGTAGAAAAAACTCTTAAGAATTTCTTTAAATCATATATTTAAAAATTTAAAGAAATTCTATAGAGATTATTTTACCTGGCGATAGTAAAATATTATATTAGGGTCCTTAATAACTCAGGACGTCCCAGGAAAAAAAGTTAAATAAAACTTCTTTAAACTTTTGAAACATATGGCCTACAGAAATTCTATAAAGTTTTTATAGAAATTCTATAGAATGCCTATTAATTTATAAAAATTGCTATAAAACATTTTTTTCTAAAAAATCTATAAAATCTATAAAAAAATCTATAAATCTAAAAAAATCTAAAAAAAAAAATCTAAAAAATCTAAAAAAATCTAAAAAAAAAAATCTATAAAAAAAAAGTAGAAAAAAAAGTTCTATAGAACTTTCTATACAAAAATTCACTAGAAATTCTTTAGAATTACATAGAACTTCTATAAGCCATATGTTTTAAAAGTTTATAGAGTTTCTATAAAACTTTATTTCCCGGGGCTTAAAGTCCTTCAACTTTTTTTCATCTATTTTTTAGCTTTTTAAGATACCAAAAAGATTTAATTGCCAGCAAACATTGCTTTAGTGGATTTGCATTATAAATAATGCATATTGGCATTTTGAACGTTTAATTTAATTTTTGCTCATCGGTTATTTTGTGGACCACTCAATGTCAGTGGTTGACTCAATAAATTTTCAATATGTTGTCAGTGGCTGACTCAATAAATTTTCAATATGTAATATAGTGGTCAATATGTAATATAGTATTATAAGTCATTGACTTGCCACTTTTAGCGGCTACAACTAATGGTCCACTTAGTAACCAATGAACAAAACTATGGTAAACCGCTCCAACTGTCCATATAAGTCTACTGAAATATATAATCTGCTATAGAATGTTTTCTAAGTGGCTAATATCTTTAATATATTTTAGAAAAATAGAAAACGTGGGAATTTAATTTTATTTTATAAATTATGTTACTTAATTTAAAAAAATTGCAGAGTCAAATTATAAAAAATTCAAAAAATTAAAGAACAATTACAAATCAGAGTCCCATTTTGCGTGCAATTCAAAATTATTTTAGATATTTTTAGAAAACCTAATTAAACAAATCAATATTTTATTGCAAAATATCAAATATATCAAAGCTAATATATAAATAATAAAATGTAAAACCTACTATAACAACATATGATCTTTTTTTCTATTTAAAATTTACTGCAGCTATTTCAACAATAAAATTGTTTAAACTAAGCTGATCCAACTTTTAGTTCGAGACATTTATATTTCTAAACAAACACATACTGTTTATCAGGTATATAAATTGCGTTTATTAGGCGAACATTATAATTGCATTTGCTGTTGCATAAAAATGATTCTAAGTTTGGTTTTAGCTTTCGGTGTCCTATCAGTTGCATCAGGTTTGTATTCACTTAATTATTCTGGATATATTTTGAAATGAATAAAGAAAAAGTATATATAATATATATATATATATATATATATATATATATATATATATATATATATATATATATATATATATATATATATATATATATATATAAACACACACACTTTAAAATGTATTTTGCAAAATAGGGTGCCAAATGTTTTTAATAAGTACTGTATTTTATTTAAATATTTTAAATAATATAGTTTTACAATAATGCATGGTTAATTTAATCAAGTGTAATTTGTTTATCAAGGTTGTGGTACTCCTAGATATCAACAAGGTAGAGTAATTGGTGGAACAACACCAGTACGAGGCTCTTGGCCATGGCAAGTACTTATGATAACCAATAACCAACCAGGTTGTGGTGGAACTCTAATTGCTCCAAATTGGGTACTTACGGCCGCTCACTGCGTACACCAAACATATCCTCAACAGCACATTTTACGGTAATCTTTTTTAAATTATTCTTAGCCACCGATTACCCATTTTCGAGCCTCCAACACTAAAAATTACAATAAAAAAGAAATGCTCTATTACACTTTTTGTTGTTTTTTATTTTTACATGACCTACCCAGGATACATTTTGATTTTTTATTTTATATTAGTGTTTTAATATTTACCTCAATATTTTTTCTGTCAATTTTTCTAAACTGAACTACTTGGTAAACATCTTAACTGAAATAAAAATAAGTTTAAAAATTGATATATTTCTTTTACAAAAGAACTATCTAATCCTTTTACGGAATTTTATAAGATTTTGACCTAGGGAGTTCATGTTATACATATACTTATTTCTAATTGAGTAAAAAAAATTTTGTTAAAATACTTTATTGCAAAACGGTTTGATAAAATGTGTTAAAAAGAATAAAAAATCAAAAAGAAAGTAAAAAAATGTATGCTTTCCTCAACATATAACACATTGAGTCAAAGTAAACAACTTAATTGGCATAATATACCTAATTAACACATAAATAAATGTTCAAACTTTTAGACTAATATGTTTTACGTTTTTAGACTAATATGTTTTACTCATCGCTACGTCATTTAAGTTACTATTACATGAGCACTCATGCCGCTTTAAAAAATATTAGGTGTTGAGTGCTTTTTTTATCATAATTCTTTTTGGATTAATACAGTATTTTCATATTTAAATAAGAATAACAATTAGTATATCTTTATTTGATTAAAGATATTTGATTAATATTAAAAATTAAGCAACAAAATAAAGTTTTTTATTTGCAACAGTTAACCAAGTGTAAACATTTGTTTTAGTGGAGGTGAACACAACATAAACATCCGAGAGGGATCCGAAGAAGATATTCCAGCTTCAGCATTGTTTACACATCCAGGATACAATCCACGGACCATGGATAACGACATAGCTCTTATTAAACTTTCCCGATCATTCAGATCAAGTGACTTCGTATCCACCGCTTGTTTACCAACAGTAGAGGCTCCAGCTGGAACACCGTGTTATATAACTGGTTTGTACTTGATATTTCCTTTTGTCAAATGTTTATTTTTTTTTTTAATTGTTTATTTATCTTTATCTTAGTATTAATATTAATATCATTATATATTAATGCTGTTATATATATTAATTTTAAATTGTATAATTATATTTACATTTATTATTATTATTGTGTATTTCGTCTTAAAGAAAAATTTACCAAATTCGACTTCGGCAAGAAGAAATAAATTCAGTTTTATTGACATGCCTTTAAGTTATATATTTTTATTTGTGCTAACATATATTTATATTTGTATAAATAAATACTAGCATAAAACATAAGTAAAATATAAAACTTAATATAAATTTATTTTTATTTTTATTGCTTGTATAAATGTCTTGAATGACTTACGGAATTTACTAATATTTGGAGGAGATTTTAAAAAAAACTTACTTCATGATTTTTACCAGGATGGGGAAAAATTGCACATCCAGGACAAATGACACACCTCCTTCAACAAGGAAACATGAATGTCGTTGATAGACGTGTATGCCACAATATGAACTCAAAAAACTTACCTTGGCCTGTAACTAATTCTATGGTGTGCGCAGGAGATGGTGGAAGGAGTCGCATGTCTGGATGTCACGGTGATAGTGGCGGTCCATTTGTCTGTAATAGAGGAGGAAGATGGGAAGTGCACGGTGCCGTTAGCCACGGATCCAGTGATTGTCGCTCAGACAAAACTTACACTGTTTTTGCTAATGTTGTTTACTTTAGATCATGGATCGATGTCACTATGAGAAGATAAAAAATGCAATAAAAATTGTTAGTTTAATTATCGAACATGAAAAATATATTTTAGTTGTTAATTAGTTTTTTTATTTTAATAAAATTAATTTTATATTGATTTTAATAACTGCAAACTTTTAAAAACTATCCTAGCTTTCCTGATTCGTAAAATGCAAGTCTTTACCAACTTACATAACTTTTCCTCACCAATTATTTCTATATTTACTTCAATATATTTTTTAGTAAAATAATTTATTCTGGAAAAAACTTTAGGCGCAAAAAACTTTTTTGCATACGTAGAGCTTATAAGAGACTTATAATTAGGTTTGTTTTTCTGCTAAATGCATTGCATTGATAGCTCAGTGGTTAAGTCCACTGTAACCAGTGTTGTTTTGGACCTCCTCTTAGCGTAATAAATTTTGAAATTTTCAATCTTGCTTATATATTTATAGTAAAAAAATAATAATATAGCAAAAAAGATACTTAAAATTTTAAATAAAATTTTAAAATTTTCTCATTTTATAGATATATAGATATGCGCGATTATTCCTTATAATGCCTTCAAATTTGCAGGCATATGTTTTTAGCATATGTTGAGTTAACTCAACATATGCTAAAGACGTTTACACTTACAGACGTTTGTACGTAACGCTACACAAATGGAACTAAGAAGATCTCTAAAACATAGTGATGAAAAAAAATTCATTCTTATGATTATGATTAAGAACTAAAGAATATTATTAAACGCTTAATATAAGAGTTAAACCAAATAGGTTTTGCGCATTGACGTCAATTTGTGACAAAATAAACTATTATGCGTCAAGTTTCCTTTTGCATTTATTTTAAATTTTAATTATGTTGCATACAAATGCATAAATATATATAAACCTGGTACAGATATATCATTTTCACGGATAAGAGAATGTATTTACTAAAATAGTAATAAATAAATAGTTTTTGTCTTTATTAAAATATTTCTATATCCCATAAAAATATATTCCATATATCTTTAAAATAAATAGTTTTTAAAAAAAATTGAAAATCTTTTTTCTATGACGATCTTTTTTAAAGGACTAAGAAGCAGATGACACAATTTTAGCAATCAGAAATTATCGAGAGAGGGGTAAATCTAAAGTTTTAGATTGGATGTGATATGTTTCGTGTTTTTTCGATCTTGAAAATTTTTTAATAACATGACTACAAAAATCAAAACAAAACAGTTTAATCAAAAAAGATTTGTAAACATTAGAAAACTTTACTTATATTACATACGATATCATAAATAAAACGTTATATAGGTGGAATTTTCACATTTTAAATATATATACATATATATATATATATATATATATATATATATATATATATATATATATATATATATATATATATATATATATATAAACGCTTTTACATAAACAATATATATATATATATATATATATATATATATATATATATATATATATATATATATATATATATATATATTATATATATATATAAAATACATATTTGCTTAAATATACATTGTATATATAGGGATGGTTAAACGCAACAAAGTTTAAAAAAAATTAGTTTATATTAAAATTAAATAATGATTTATATCTTTCTTTGCAAACACTAATACTATTAATAAAACTTTAAAATCACTATAAAATTCTGGTTCTTTTGAGATACAGGTTGAAATGCTTTTGGAACAAAAAAATTTCACTAATATATGGAAGCCAGTGTGTAACCAATGGTCATGGTGGGTGACCTTTTTCACCATATATATATATATATATATATATATATATATATATATATATATATATATATATATATATATATATATATGTATATATATATATATATATATATATATATATATATATATATATATATATATATATATATATATATATATATATATGTATATATATATATATATATATATATATATATTTATATTTATATATATATATATATATATATATATATATATATATATATATATATATATATATATATATATATATATATATATATATATATATATATATATATATATATATAAATGTGCTTTTTTTAAAAGAGACGGGGTGCTTTTTTTAAAAGAGACAGTTTATATGACTTTTATTATCAAAGTATGCACTGCAGCACCATGCGCACTTACAAGTAAAAACCTTTACATTATTAAGGTACAATATCGAGATTGAGTATAAGCACTCACTGACGTCTTTTACTATTCAAATAGCAGTTACTTACATCGTAATTTTTGCACCCTTGTTGTTTCAAGACTGGTGAACAATTAGAGCCTTTTAGAGGACATTCTTATTTAGATACCGTTTTTTTCAGTATGTACTCCATTTTTTTTACAAAAAAAAAAGTATATACTAAAAAAAGTAGATATAAATATTCTAAATAGAATTTTGAAAAAATGTTGTTCTTAGGATGGCGGGGGAAGAAGAGTGGGATAGGGGAAGAAGACGCTTTTTTTTGGCAAAGAGGGCCGTGCTCTAACACTTTTCCTCCTGAATAACGCGTCTGCGATCAATGTATACTTGCTGTGTTCTACCTTCCCTAAGATTTTGGTAAAGATTAGTTGAGCGAATCAAAATTTAACAATGTTTTTATAAATCCAAGATGATTTGCCACCATATCTTAAAATGATAAGTATAGTTTCCTGAGTTATTAGTAAAAATTTTATGATTTTATGGGGCCATATATAAAGGACGTCACCATTTTTTAGCCAATTTTTGACGTAGTTTTCCATGTTAATTAAACTAAAATAAAAAATCTATAAAGTGACGTCCTTTTCGACAACCTCCCCCTTTCCCTTGTCCTTTTTTGTCCTTTTTAACTCAACCCCCTCCCCTCCCCCTATTTGGATGACATCCTTTATGGATGGCCCCTATCCACTTTTGCACAATACCAGTCATTTTTAATGCTAATCTGCTGCACTAAATTAAAATATTCTGGCCTGTTAAAATCCACAAAAAAAAAAAAATTTTATAAACTATGAAAGTAAATATAATATAAAATAAAACTTTAATAAAAATTTAGACATAATCATTATTGATGCTATTAAATTTTTTTTATTGAGTTTTAAATTCTCCTGAAATGCGATGATATACTTAATAATAATCAAAAATAAATCTGCAATACGATCAATATATTTATCTAGCACAAATGGTAAAGTTAAGTAATAACACATCTTTTAAAACACCATCAATTACTATCAAATACCATTGATTTATATGTAGAAAAGTTAGCTTGCAGTATTTACAAAAATAATACTTAAGATATCCTAAAAACGTGTATTTTCATAAACTACTGTAAAAGATGATTTTGAAATGCAAGAATTTTTTTTCATAGTAATCCTGCGTGTGCTGAATGAAAATAATTTTTTTTTTAAGAAGAAGTCTTACACGGGGAGAAGCAAATATGTGCACCAAGGCATCTGTCCATAAAGATATAGCATAATTTATGTTAACAAGAGAGTCTAATTGAGAATTGTGATAAATGCTAAGAGCCTGTAAAGCTAATAATATATCAGGTATAGCAATCAATCCAATAAACATAGCTAGTATAAAACTTGATAGTAAAAATCCTTTAAATACACTTTTGCTGTTACTTAAACGAACGTTAGACTTCTGCTTGTAGAAAATGATTAAAGCGTACTCTTAAAGATACGTTGAAAAACTAATTATAATTATATCGTAACGAATATCAATAAGCACGTCGTAACGGTATATATAAAACTCAATTAAACTCCCAACCAAAATTACTATACACCATAAAATCATTGCTAAAACTAGTGGGTTTTTTTTTGACCAGTATATAACATATTTAATATTTAGTTTTATATGTTAGTATCTGTCAAATACCAGCCAAAATGTTACGTAATAAAATCCTTCCATCAAAATTCTCTTTACTGCATAATAAGTCTTAATATAAGTTAAATAGTTTACGTTTGTAAAATTATTTAGCCATTCTTCAACTTCAAAAAATATGCTTAAGCACAAATAAAACAAAGCTGGATTAAAATATATCTCTGAGTTAAATCGAATCCACTTTTAAACTTCAGAAAAACAAAGAATCCAATAGCATTCAAAATTATTCCAGTGTTGCAAAAAAGTAAGTATGCAATGGAAAGTTTATTAACCATACTGTAAAGCAAATGCTTTTTAAGTAATGTCAAAATATAATAACATATCTACTACTACTACTACTACTACTACTACTACTACTACTACTACTACTACTACTACTACTACTACTACTACTACTACTACTACTACTACTACTACTACTACTACTACTACTACTACTACTACTACTACTACTACTACTACTACTACTACTACTACTACTACTACTACTACCACTACTACAAGTTGAACCTGTTTAAAACTACAAGTATTTTTTTGTTGCTTACTAAATAAATATCACATGCATACATATGTATATGTATACAAATATATATAATTCATATACGTATATATATTATAATATATCTATTTTTCGCACTTGGTAATCTTTAATTTTGGTGTAACGCAAAACAACTGACTGATAGCTTTGTTACTCTCAGGTCTTAAACTGAAAGGTTATATTTATATGACTTATAAAAAAAATTGAAAAATACTTCATGACGGTTCTTTCATAAAATGAGCTAAAATATATACATTATTTTACAAAACCTCAAATTATTTTGTAAAACGATATTCTTTACTTATTCATATTGTGGGCACAATTGTTTGGTAACGTAGTTACTTTTTAAATAATGGTATTCTCATTTTAAATTAAAAAAAAAACTTTTTTAAGGAAACAATATGTTGTTTAAATCATATCTAAAGTGACAAAATAAATAAAGAGATTAAAAAAATAATTTTTATGAACATATAGTATTAAAATAATGAAACTACATGACTGACTCAATTTTTTCTTTTAAAAAGTTTATTTATAACTATTTGAAAAAGCCGTTTTAATACGATTGATTTTATTCGTACAGATTTCTTATTCTTTTTTACTTCTTTTCATTTTAATAATTGATTTTAATTATTCTTTTTTACTTCTTTTCATTTTAATAATACTT